GGAGGAGAGGCTGCCTCATTGGAGAAGATGGGAAAATGGGGGGGGGGGTCCTAAGCCATGCCCTGGCTTTGCAGCATGGCTCCCATAAGGATAAAGAGGGGCCTTGTGAAAGGAAGCCCTGCAAAGGGGGCCAGCTGGAGGGAGGGAGGGGAGGATCACAGGGACAGAGCTTCCCCACTCCTTCCTTCCCTCCCTCCCTGGAGGCCAGATGCCTTGAGGCAGAGAGGTCCCTCTATGAATAGGAGGCAGGAGGGGATGGCTGACCCAGCAGACAAAGAGGGAGGCTCCCTTGGCAGATGTGACCCGAATGTAATTAAGCCACAGACAATGCTGCAGCCCAAATGTGTGGGGGTTTCTGCTTCCACCAAGCCCCTTCCACACCAGTCTGCTTTGTGCCCCCCACTTTTCACTCTGCAGCATTCTCAATTCATTAAAAGGAGGCGGGAACAACTTCTTATAATTTGATTTTTCTTATGTTGTCCATATCAGACACGCGTCTCCAATATGAGAGCCAAAACAGACACTCGTCTCCATTCATCATCAGGCTTTCTTGGCATGTATTTGTCTCCCGATTCAATCCTCAGCACTGAATGATTTCATTTTCAAGCATGATCTCCGCTGAGGTCAGAGGAGGGAAAATAAGAAAAACAGCATAATGAGATCATGCTGGAAATAGACCCGGCTGTGTTAATCCATTGCGGATTGCAGCAGTCAGAGCCAACACAGGCAGCCAAACAATGAGGAGGAGCTTGTTCCTACCACGGAGTGTATCCCTAGTCTTCCTGGGCAGGGTGTGGCACAGGCGGGCTTCTCTCTCGCCAAATGACAATATTCTGCAGCATAAGGAATGCAGGTGGGCACATCCACCTGCAAAGTCAGCAGAAAAGCCCAGGGCAAAGTGGACACAAATCTCTTTTGTTTTCTGGAAATGTGGTCTCTTCCTAATCTTGGGAGGCTAAACTTGAATGAATAGTAATTTTGAGATCTACTGATGGAATAAGTCAAGCAAAAGGAAATTTGGATCAGGAATGCAGTGATCACAGCTTTAGAGTAGTCAGAAACAAAGGGTGGGTGTGGCAGCCTGGCATTGAAAGGTATGATGCTACCACTAACTCACTACACTTGTCGTTGGCTTACCTTACTTTAGCACTGAAGGCTTTGGTGGCTTCTCTCCACACATATTTTTTTATTTTTATCCTGATTTGAACGATGTGATTTTGAACAATGAACTCATACAGGTTGAGCATCCCTTATCTGCTATTCCAAAATTGGGGGGCTAATATAGTGACATCTTTGCTTTCTGATGGTTCAGCATACATACATTATTCTTTACACACAAATTTATTAAAATATTGTATGTAAAATTAGCTTCAGAATATGAATATAAGGTGTATATCTAATAAAATTGATTTTGTGTTTAGACATGTTTCCCGTCTTCAAGATATGTCATTATGTATGGCAAGTGTTCCAAAATAAATAAAAATCAAAGAATACTCAACCTGTAGTAAGACTTGAACAGCAGTGAACAGAAGAGTGAGAAATACCTTGGAATATCCAGAGATATTCCAAGTCTTTGGGAAAACGCCCATCTCTAAGATACATCATTATGTATGTGTATGCAAATACAGGTATACCAAGATTCAAAAAGTCTGGAATACCAAACAACTCCTGTGCTAAGCATTTCAGATAAGAGGTACTCAACATGAAACTGTTACATTGATCTGTCCTTTTTGCCTCGTGAGCATTCATCAGATGCTCTTAGGCACCTGAAATCTTTTTCCATATGAAAGAAGTATAACAAATTTCTGATATTTTTGCTTAATCAAAAAGATGGATTGTTCAAAAAGTACTCGATTAAGAAAGTGCATTTGTGCCATTTCCACACTTTTAGCGTGAATGCATCTCTATCCACGTTGGTCAAGCCGGAGTCCAGATTGGCAATGCCTGCTGGGAGCTCTACTGCCTGGAGCATGGCATCCAGCCTGATGGGCAGATGCCCAGCGACAAGACCATTGGGGGTGGAGACGACTCCTTCAACACTTTCTTCAGCGAGACAGGAGCCGGCAAACACGTCCCCAGGGCTGTCTTTGTAGACTTGGAACCAACTGTGATTGGTGAGTGCAAAYTCCATCTTCYCATGTACTAACAAATGTAGCCGTATAAAACTGATGACCTCTAGATATGGATGATAAGAGTTGTATTCCAAATACAAATACTGTGGGTGATAAGAGTTGTATTCCAAATTCTTGGGGGGGGGGGGGCACCAGGTTGGAGAAGGCTCAGTGTCATGACCCACAGAACACAGATTGACTCGTAAGACATCATCAATTTATAGATAAAAGAAGATTTACTCYTTTTACTTATCACATTACTATCTCACCTCATCTTATGTGTGTTTCTTCCTCCCCACTTTATCCTCCCAACATAATTCTAAAAATGTTGCATTATAACCACTTATAGATATCTCAGTGCATCTCTCTTTAAATTAAGAATCCTGATTTCCATAGACTCCAGTTAAAACTATCAATATGAAGATCTAATAGTATAATTGATATTTTTTTATCATACACATATCTGTTGGTGAAAACAAAATGAATAATATGTCTTGTCAGATAATGCTTTAAAGAAATAACAACCTTGCAGGCAATCTTTTTGCAATAATAATACTAACAATAATAATGTTATTCTTACATCCTGCCCCCATCTCCCTGAAGGGACTTGGGGCGGCTTACAGACAGCACAAGGTGCCTACAAACAAACATAAAAGTGAACACAATATGAAATACAATATAATAAAACACATGCACGTATAAAAACATCAACACAGACTCAATCAAGTTGCGATCCTCTAACACTAAGCTAATTCCAGTTATTTCTCCCAACTCTCTATAGATGAAGTGCGCACAGGAACCTACCGGCAGCTTTTCCACCCTGAACAGCTCATCACTGGTAAGGAAGATGCAGCCAACAATTACGCCAGGGGCCACTACACTATTGGCAAGGAGATCATTGACTTGGTACTGGACAGGATCAGGAAGCTGGTAAGCATCTTTTCTCTTAAAGATGACCTGAGCACAATGGAAGAATGAACACAAGTGATTCACGTTATCACATAGATTGCTAGCAAGATGCAGGTTTTGCATTCAAAGAAATTAGCCAGGGTTAGGAAACAGTAGTGAAATTGCAAGTATGAATTAGGTAGAACAGATGCATTTCTTCTGACTTCAATAAAATGAGAAAGTCTCACATGGTATCAAGCTGTACTGATCGATATCTTTATGCTTACATCTCTCAGGAAGGTGTATTTCCCCGTGCTCTTTACGTCAGGCATAGGCAAATTATGGCTCTCCTAGTAGAGTTGGACAGGAACTCCTATTATATATTGTCATGGATGATTTGAGTTAGGGATAATGCAAAATTGCAGTAGGATAACACCTGGGTGATTGTAAATTACCCAACTCTGATTTAGATGTTTGTTGATTTATTTTAAGTAACAGTATTTTGTTTTGATCAATGACCAGCATTAAAATTTATTTCCACAGGCTGACCAATGCACAGGTCTCCAGGGCTTTCTGGTCTTCCACAGCTTTGGTGGTGGCACGGGCTCTGGTTTTACCTCCTTGCTGATGGAGCGCCTGTCTGTTGACTATGGAAAGAAGTCCAAGCTGGAGTTCTCCATCTACCCAGCCCCTCAGGTCTCCACAGCTGTAGTTGAGCCCTACAACTCCATTCTGACCACCCACACCACCCTGGAGCACTCCGACTGCGCCTTCATGGTAGACAATGAGGCCATCTATGACATCTGCCGCAGAAACCTTGACATTGAGCGCCCCACTTACACTAATCTTAATAGGTTAATTGGTCAAATTGTGTCCTCCATCACAGCCTCCCTACGATTTGATGGTGCCCTGAATGTAGATCTGACCGAATTCCAGACCAACTTGGTGCCCTATCCCCGTATCCACTTCCCCTTGGCCACCTATGCCCCGGTCATCTCTGCTGAGAAAGCTTACCATGAACAGCTTTCTGTAGCTGAGATCACCAATGCTTGCTTTGAGCCGGCCAACCAGATGGTGAAATGTGACCCTCGTCACGGTAAATACATGGCCTGCTGCCTCCTGTACCGTGGGGATGTGGTTCCCAAAGATGTCAATGCTGCTATTGCCACCATCAAGACCAAACGCACCATCCAATTTGTGGACTGGTGTCCCACTGGTTTCAAAGTGGGCATCAACTACCAGCCCCCTACAGTGGTCCCTGGAGGTGACCTGGCCAAAGTGCAGCGTGCTGTCTGCATGCTGAGCAACACCACCGCCATTGCGGAGGCCTGGGCTCGCCTGGACCACAAGTTTGACCTGATGTATGCCAAGCGTGCCTTTGTCCACTGGTACGTCGGGGAGGGGATGGAGGAAGGAGAGTTTTCCGAGGCCCGGGAGGACATGGCTGCCCTGGAGAAGGATTATGAAGAAGTGGGTGTGGATTCAGTTGAAGGAGAAGGGGAGGAAGAAGGAGAGGAATACTAAAATGTCACAATGGTGCTGCTCTTACAGGGAATTTTAAAGCTACAGCGGTGAGAAAAAGTTTGTGACCCCTTAAGACTGTTAACATGTTTCTAAAAGTTCTAACAAGTTACTGGATCTTAATGTAACCCTATAATCCTAGAAAGAGAGAAAATTGATTCCCAAATTGAAAAAATGGCATATAAACATGATACATTTTCAACGTATTTATCTGACTGATACAGTAGCCAGTGTCCATGTGTGAAAAAGTATGTGAACCTTTATAGTCATTACCTTGTGACACTCTTGAGTAGCCAGAATGTCAGATAAGTATTGCTCTCACCGTGTTTTTAAAGAATTGTCAAAATAATTCTTCAAAATAATGACCTTTTTTGCACGGGAGGTCCTGCCACAACAATTCCGCGGAATTTAGGCCTAGATTTTGACTAGGCCATTCTAAAACAGCCCCAAATCCTTAGGTTTTTCACAACCCTTTCTAAATTGGCGAGTAGTAACAACTGCTTTTATGAGAAATGCCTTCAGAAATGCCTTTCAATTGTGGTATGATAAATTTCCACACAGCTATGAGATGACCAAGTTTCTGATCCTTTTATTATGTGCCCCTCCCCAAATCATCCCACAGGCATCTAATTATGTAAGGAATGCTTCTATTTATTTCCTTTAATTGAGATGAGGCAACTAGAGGTTCACTTACTTTTGCACTTATTTTGACTTTTTTTTGTACTCCTCATTTGCCTAATGGATGCATTGTATTATGTCACAAGAAAGAGAATATTGTAGGTTAATGTCAACCTCATTGGATATTTAGAATAAGACAGATTATTATGGTAAGACTTCAACATTTCCATAACTGTCATTAGGGATCATGAACTTTTTATCACCACTGTATTTAACAACATTCAAGTACTAGTCTGATTGGTTAATTTATGTAGCAGTGTAAATTGTTTGCCCTACAATAACTGATCTGCGCTTTAAATCATGAACGTTTTACAAATCCAAGCCGTCCAATAATGTTATGGCTTTGTGAATAAAAATCATTCCCTGTCCTAGAAAGTCAGTGTTGTTGCACTTTCTGACCTTATACAACTTGATTCTGCATATTCTGGGGCTTGGATTGGAAGCAAACAGTGTGCATTATGGAGTACAGGAATGTATCACAAGTGAATTCACTGTCGTATTTGATGTGGAAACAGGGAAAAATATACAAATAATGGGGAAATTACAGGACATGTTGATAGCACCTCTAGAAACAAAGCCCACCAATCAGCATTGGTGCAAAGGATGATGCACGCATGACCACAGAGGCAGCCAAACCATACGAACTATTCAGTCTCTTGATCTACCCATGCTGTAATACACAAGAAGTAAGGAAAAAACAAGACATGGGTGCATCCAAAGAAGTCCGGACCAGTGGTGCTCTTTTTGGAAGCAAGTACAGCTGTGCTTAAGAGCAGACTTGTTTTATCTCCTGGGTACATATTTTCTTCCTTTTCTCCCACATATAAATACAATTAGGTAGCAGTAGCAACAACAATCAACAACATTTGGTGAAGTTTGCAAAGCATGGAAGAAACATGCCTAAGGAGGCTGCATGTTCTTTGTGAGATTTATTGTTTCCTTTTCTTGTCAATGAGGAATGGTCAGTACAAACAAATGTCCACATGCTTCTACAAATATTGCTCTGAATAACCTCATGGAAAGGCACTTTTACCACAAGTCTATGCATGCACACATTAGATGGAAAGATCTGAAGGATTATCTGTGATATCATAACTCAGTAAGCATGCAAAAATAGATTGAGGGAGCTGGAGCAGAGCAATACCTGTAGGCATCAGTTTGGTGTGGAATAATGGACTGCCCAACCTTACCATGGGCAGCAGAGGGATGAGGGATGCACACTTGTTAGCTCTTGCCTTGATAGGAGAGTTTTGGATTCACAACTTTAAAGCTCTTTGTCTGCAACATGATGGAATAGGACCTTACCAGGAGCAGTCTGGCTGTAGTGGAAACAGAAGTCTGGCGATAATGGCTGTCACCAGTAATCTATGACTACTTTCGGGACACTCGATCAGTTCTCAGATAAGTTGCCCCTCTTCACTTGGATCACAGGCAACCCATGTGCGCTGTTCAGTGATACATAATACTTCATTTATTGACCGCCCTATCTCCCCAAAGGGACTCAGGGCAGTTTCCAACACATATAGCAAACATTCAAGGCCTACAAAGAAGATATAAACAAATTACATCAAAACAAAATACATCAAACAATATACAAGCAACCTAACTATAAACTTAATACCAAATAAAAATTAACTAAAAATACAACTTAAATAAAAATGTGAAGAAGGTTACAATCAACTACATTAGAGATTATTTTCATTGGTTGCATTGGCATTTCTGAGTCATACAGATGCAGCATTCATTTTGGTGATAAATGATGGAACATGTTTAATTTTTAACATAGTCAGTTTCTATGACAGTCCCATTAATCTCAATCTGTACTAAAACAACAACCTCCAGGTGTGGAAATTAAGCAAATTACTTGGCTCTTGTTCTAGCAAACTGCGGAAACAGGTTTTCTTTCAAACTCTTTTCCCTATCTGTGAACATACGATCACTTAGCTTCTATTGCTACAGAGGAACAGCATCATCATAACAAACAACAATGTGTTTATATTTTCAATTTCCCCTTTATCATTTGATGTCTTAGCCTGTGGCATCTCAACTTAATGGAAATGTTCCTTCTTGGGGTATTTCTGTTGCAAATGTGTGTCCTCGGACAGCGGGCTCAGTCCTCTTAACATACATATCTCAGATTTCACCCGAGTCTTCGTTCCTTTTCATTATTTATTTAAAACACTTTGTCTGAAGTCTTTAGACATGGTTACTCAGAAATATCCCTCAATGGTTTACATGGGACTTGCTCGCAAATAAGTGTATATATAATTTTGTCATGTATTGGATGTATTTTGATGGTGATAAAATACATACACCTCTAGCTATGAGGAAAGTATTATGATGACTAAAAATAATAGAATAATAAATCAGAAGATTATGGTTTTATTGGCTGTGATGGTTTCCACTAATGCCACTGAATGTGATGATTTTACTAATCCCCTGTGAAGGTTTCCACTTAGAATCATAGAGTTGGAAGAGACCCCAAGGGTCATCCAATCTCACCCCCTGCCATGCAAGAATACACCATCAAAGCAACCCTGACAGATAGCCATTGAGCCTCTGCCTTCTCTACCTCTGCCAGCAATGTGTGGACATCCCCTTGGCCAGCTTTTAGATGCCCTTGTGGTTTGGTTTCAGGACCCACTGGGCATACCATGGATTTTCAAGCCCCATCATATACAATGGAAGAAACCTGTGGATGGTTGAATCCGTGGAGGAAGAATCAGTGGATAAAGATGTCTGACTATAATACCACAGATTATTTGATTAATACAGATGCTAACTTTCCTTCCTGCAACTGAGCTTTATTGCCAAACACTAAACTACAAACTCCAGCTGTTAGGATATAGGAGGAAGGGAAGCATCCACATGGCAATTCATTAGCATTGCTCTTTGGACTCAGGCAATGGTCACAAATCAGGCCTTTAAATAGACAAATCAAATAATACTGAGGTCTTTTTATACAGTTTTGATTCCAATGTAATTGCCACTGCTGCTAATTTTGGAATCTCTCACATCCCAACTAATCTCAGGAAGGGAAGCATCACATAGCAGTTAATTAGCATTATTTTTAGACTCAGGAAATGGTCACAAATCAGGCTACAGCTCTTAAAAAACTACATATCCCATGATTCCATTGCGAAGTCACAACAATTAAGGTGGTATCCAACTTCATTAATTCTGACATTGAATAACTCTCCTAAACCTCCTAAACTGAACCCTATGGCTGATGACATCATGAAGACTCTCTGGTTGCCAAGCAAGCCAAGATGTCTTGTTTCGGCCATTTTCAGGGACCATCATGGACAGCCAATAGGATCATCAGGAGATGGCACCATGCATTGGCGACCTATGGTAGACCTTCGCCTCAAGGCCTCAAGGTCCTATTAGCGGCAAGACCTGAACTTCCATGTCACTGATTGGTTGGCCACTTGGGGCTGGGCAGGACTATGATTTGAGTGCAGCTGCAACAGCAGCCTTCACTACAAATCTGAGGCTCTATCTCATCTACCTGAGGTCGTAACAGCAAAACAACAACTGTTAATACAAAGATAGACACAATTTACTTTGAACACCCTCCCACCTCCCTTCATGTCAGGTGGCCACATTATTTTCATACCAGTATTAAAGATGTTCAAATGTTTGTTGTTGTTGTTGTTTCCTACCCATCTCCCCTCATGGATCATGGCGGGGAACAACAACATACTGAAATGCAACATATATTGACAATTAACCAAGGAAAATCATCAGTTTAAAAGAATATATACAACCAATAGAGATTAAAACAACTAGTGCATAATTCCAAAGTCATTTGAATAGGCCTGTAGAAACAGGCCAGATTTTATTATGGTTTTAAAAGCAGAGGTTGAGCATTTTACAATCTAGTAGCGCCTGAAGAAAAAGCCTTCTGGGGGACCATTGTCACAGGGTTCTCTTAGGCCAGGGATGACATTTTTTTTCCCATCGAGGGCCACATCAGCCTTATGCTTGCCTTCAAAAGGCTATTGAATTTGTGGACAGAGAATCCGTGGATACAGAGGGCCAACTATAATTGTTTTACATAGTGATCAGTGCTCTTTAGCTTTTACCCAGTTTGGGTCCCCAGATGTTACTGAATGACAACTCTCCTCACTTTTGATTATTTTTATTGAGTCATGCTAATGTTTACCATCTGCCTTGTCAAGTTGTCTGCAATAATTGTAGTAGACAACTATGTTTTTAAATATGTGTATTTATTTCTTATTGTATTGTTTTACATATCCATATTGTTTTGTATGAATTGTATTGTTTTGTAGAATGCTGTAAGCCACTTTGGGTCCTATTTAAGGAGAAAAGTGGGAGATATATATAAAGGTTTATTATTATTATTGTTCACCATGTGGACTGGGAATAATAAGAATTGCAACCCAACCGCACTTGTGACTCTGAATTATAAGATACTTTGACATCAGACCTCATATCCACAAGCCATGTATCTAAATTCAAACTCCACTATCCTGACTGATCAGAACAAAGTGTAGCCCTCAACCGCAACAACTCTGATCATGATGTCCAATGGTGAGGAATACAACAGTTGTAATCCAGCATCTGGAGGGTCACATAAAATGTCAGGATGAGTCAGATTTGACTGGTGGGCTTTGAGTTGACACGTGTCAGTTTCCAGCTTTTCCATCACTTCCTGGTGATCAGTTCAGGTCCAACGGTTCAGGTGCAACTTACTTATCTAACTGCATCTATACATACCAACCTGCCTGAACCCTAAGATCATCATGAGAGGCTCTACTCTCACTTCTGCCACCTTCCCAAACACGGCTGGCAGTGACGCATGAGAGGGCCTTCTTGGTGGCTGCTCCATGGTTCTGGAATACCCTCCTGAGGGAGATCAAAATGGCACCCTTCCTACTAATGTTTTGATGCAGACCTTTTAGGGTGGTACTAAGTGAAATAAGATATGACTGGACAGTACAATAATGTATACTGTTTTAAACGTCTATTTCTGTTCTATCTTGCTTTTTTACTGTTTTATATTCATACATTTGACTGTTGTTTATCTTTGTATTTTGTTTTTAACATGTTGGAAGCCCCTTTGGGTTCCCATTATGGGAGAAAAACAGCATGTTAAAAAGATTTGTTGTTGTTGTTGTTGTTGTTATCAGTGTTCTCTGCACTCCCTGCCAATAGCAAAGTCAGACCAACACTCTGCTGTGTTCTGGGATTTTTCTAAAAAGGGAAACCAAAGCAAAAGAGTTTTTCTTTTCTGAGCAGTTCTGAGCCAACTAATATCAAAAGTGCTATAATGTTTAGTATGTGCAGTCTACAGATCTAGAGAAATTTATGTACATGACATGGAAATGGTGGAAAGTGATTGCCCCACC